ACCGGTATTCCTTCGTAAACAATGTCAGCTAGCACGAAACTTAATTACAAAGTTTCCTATTAACTACCTTCAACAAATATGATTTCTCCTCGCCTTCTTTTTTTAATTTTTCTACGACTTTAATCAACACATTTAAGAGGACATTGGCAAAGTGAAATCTTTTTTCTTTGTAACTTTATTTGTAAAATGTAATCTAATGTCATATTTTCCAAGTTTTCTATGGCGGTCCAGCTTCAATTGACTAATGATCTCAACTATTGAAAAAATAAAATATTAGGACTGCTTTTAATTCGAGATCGGAATATAAACAGTTTTGTTTGATCTTACAACTAAATTATCCAATCAGTTTTGAATACGACATCAAAAGAACTAATTGTAATTGGAAACAAGTATAAAAGATTATCCAGGACAGAGCTCAATTGAGAATCCTGATGGGCAGCCCATGCAAGTAAAAACCGTAAGTAAGTATGTTAATGATATGTAAAGATTATTTAAAATATCTATGATTATTAAGTTGCTTCATACAATGCTTTCTATGACTAGCGGAATGATACTAGATGACATATGTTAGAATCCCATGAAGAGTAACAATTTCCTCAACACTACAGACTAATAATGATAAGTATTGAATAGTGTGCACTAATAAGGACTAGACACGCAATCAATTGTGATTACATCTCAGTCCTACAGGAGGTCGGTCGCGGCTCGGATAGCTCAGTGGTAACATCTCTGACGGTGAAGCTGGGTGACACATGATCGAATCCGCCAGGGAACACCAGTTCCCTCAAGATTACAGGTACACCTTGCTAACGAGTGCCAAGTAGCACGAAACGCGGATCCAGTCTTAAACAGTCTTAAATTCCTCGTTGCTTTCATATTGCAGTATTACCATAGCTCATTTAAAAAAAGGAGACTATTTAATTTACAATATTTGGATTGTTTATTTTCTTTTCATTTTAGATGACTTCATACCCTTGTCTCAAATTTTTCGTTTGTTTATACATAAAAAAACGTATTAATGAATTCCATAATGTTAATTCTATACTTTCAATAGAGTTAGTTACCTATGAAATCATTTGATTCATGTTTAAAACTACTCGTGTTTTTATCTCAGTTTACAGTCAATCAACTGTTGTTTATTCATTAACAAGTAACTAAATAAATGAAAATCTTGTCAAAACATTGATTTAATTATACCCTTATAATAAGAATCATTAAATCATTAACCGAAATGAAATGTGACAACAATTTAGTTTAAGAAAAGCAAAGAACAAGGAGAAAAAGAAGATGTTGATGTTGTTGTTGTTGTTGATGGTGATGATAATAATAATAATAATAATGTATAAAGTGGGGAACACCAATTTATTGTTTCATACAAAATTACGGAATATCTAAGTAAAATACGAGAATCATAAGCTGAATACTTCATTTGTAATACTAACTGGTGTTGTAGATGATTGGAAGAAAGTTAAGAGTGGTCAAACCAAAATATGGCATCAGTCCATAAAGTCAATAACTTCGAGTCTGAACCATGTTAGAAGATGCAGACTACTTGATTGGGTCCGCATGATTATCATAACCAATGGTTGGAAACTCTGGGTGACATTGGGTCAGAATCGATCACAATGGCATCGGTGTATACACTCTTTGTGTTCGCTTAAACTAAGAGAATAAAATCGTTTTATATCTTTCTTTCTATGAACAAATTCTTTCTTCCTATACTATATCCTCATATGCAATCTTTATTTTATATACTACTACCTCTGAATTAACTACGTTTATGAATCCGATGTTCATCTTGTTGTGTTAATGGGGTATGGCAACTTGGACCGATGTATCTTTAAAGTTTCTCCAGAACCTGTTCTTATTATTAGGTATTATAGATAATCTATGTTTATTTACTTAAATACAGTATGTGTATGAAGAGTTACTCTATCAAATCCATAATATGATAAACAATATAAACATAATAAAAAGAAAAACAATCTCAACGACATCATTAGACAAGTAAATAAACTAAAATAAATGAATATTTGCTTTGAGTAATTATTTCTGTCTCAATAAATAAATCAAACTACGTTTCAAGTAATTTGTCTAATGAAATAATAATAATAATTTAAAAGAAAGAAAACAATAACAGCAACAATAATACGGAAATTGGGCTTATACAACTCATAATGTGGTGCGTGCTACTTATATTGATATAAGTAGTATATGACGCCAGTCAGGAATGTAATGTCTGGCGGCAGAAGATGGGGAAGATCAAGAAAGGAAGAGTGGGAATAAAAAGCAATTAGTATGAAAACGCAAGAAAAATGAAGTTCGGGACAATTATTGAACATTTTGCAAATTAAGTATTATAGTATGGTTTTTCTATTTTACCAAGTAACTCTGTCATTTTGTGCTAAATAATGATTCGATTGTTCTCACCTGTGTTCTCCTCCACTACAGTACTAAGAAGAAACATCCATCCAGTGCTTCCAGATTCATTTAGAAGAAAGAAAATAACAACAACAACAATACGGAGATTGGGCTTATACAACTCATATTATATTTAAAATCTAACTTTTAGATAAGGAAAACAATTTCAGATCTCATCAGTGTTTTACCACATAATGATTGTGAATAGATAATCAATCGAAATAGAGAAGTACTGTATAGATGGTTTGTTTCAATTTAGTACTTATCAGTTCTTGATGGAAAATGTACTAGGCAAGGGATTAAATCAAGAGGCTATAAGCATTGCTAAAATGTTCTTAACCTTCAGATCTACGAGTATGTGTTAAACGGTTGAATTCAAACAATTTTTTTAAAAAAAGCAATATACAACCGTGATCAAATATAATTGATGAATAACTAATTTACTTTGAGCATAGTTACATTTTACAGCTCATGGTTTCTCAATAAAACGGCTTAAATCACCATTTGTAATTGGTTACTGGTTAGCGTACTATTGTTATCACTATACAGAGTTTAAGAAAGTTGAAATATAAACTGTTGTTTGCTCACTCAGTTGCTTAACGATTAAAGCTTAAAACTAAAGCTTCTAGATTCAATTCCCAGTATCTGCACGTGAAGTCACTGTCGGTGATATATACAATAAGTATTAAGATTTACAGTTGAATTAGATTCAATATTCCCATCGCAAACTGACTTCAGCTATAATAACAAAATGATATTTTTACCAAATAAGTGAATTCCACGCCAAAATTCATGACCTAGTATTTTAAATCTGATTGTTTCCTTCATAAATTATATTCTTACCGAACTATTTATATCATCATTAGCCTGAATAGCCCACTATAGGATTATAATTAATAAACATTAATTTTAAAAAAGTGAATCATTCACCAATGTCCACTACTTAATATTCTATTATACAAATACGTTTATAAACAGTTGAAGAAGAACTATAAAATAAAATGAATCTATATTATTCCACTTCATTTGTTATTCTAACTTTCATTATGAGAGATTTGTGGAGACTGTATCATTTTCACAGTTGAATTCACAAAATAATCTAGGCTAGACAACCACCGAAAACCTGAAATCACTGGATGACTACTTTGTCCAAGTATGGAACTCCTTATCAGTAAATATTCTAACTTTATTAGGTTTTGATTTTATGAATCACTACTTTATAAAACATCATATTTATTGGATGAGATCATATATTTTAGAGACCAATATTGATATGTTCACTAAGTGAAATGAATATGAACTGAAAGAGTTTCTATGTTAGCGTTGTTCATCTTAAACATGGCGAGAATCGGCAAAACAAGGGCAGAATTCCTACAATTGAAGAACATATGGAAATCAAACAACAATCAACCGATATCAAAGTCATAATCTTCAATACGAACATCAAGGTAGTTCTACTCTACGGAGCTGAAACTTGGAGAACTACTACAACCATCATCAAGAATGCACAAGTATTTATAAATAGTTGTCTACGCAAGATACTCAATATCCATTGGCCGGATACCATCAGCAACATCCTTCTCTGGGAGAGAACAAACCAGTTTCCAGCTGAATACGAAATTAAGAAAAGACGATGGAAATGGATAGGACATACATTATGCAAATCATCAAACTGCATCACGAGACAAGCCTTGACTTGGAATCGTGAAGGGAAGTGGAAAGGTGGAAGGCCAAAGAACACATTACGTCGGATAATAGAAGCAGATATGAAAAGGATGAATAACAACTGGAAGGAGCTAAATAGGATTGCCCAAGACAGGGTTGGATGAAGATTGCGGGTGAGCGGTCTATGCTCCTTCACGAGGAGTAACAGGCGTAAGTAAGTAAGTTATGTTAAACATATCAAATAATTAATCTCTATTAACTTATATGCATCATAAATCGACTACTTGAAAGTTCCATTAGGCATGTTTATTAAATCATTTCAAATAATAACTCATACCGATTACACAGACTAATCGTTATCTGAACTCAATCAATAAGTGAATAAGACTAGTATTTTTAAAGGCCATTTTTAGTGGTTTCTAATCTCTATGTAAACATCAAAACTGTGATGTGCTTTATGTTGACATGACTAGTTTCAAATTTAGATTTAGTCACTACGTATCATTTATGAAATAAATACTGAAATCATTTAATGTGGTGTGTGCTATTGATGTCGACAGATATAAGTAGTATGTAACATCAATTGAAAGTGAAGTGCTTGGAAGTAGAAGGTTAAGATGATGGAATAAATAAAAGTAGGAACAGAGAATGATTGTTGAGGAAACAAAGGAACAATGAAGTCTGAAACGATTGATTTACATTATACAAATGAAGAATTTACTGTATGGTTCTCACATTTCACTATGATATTCTGTAATTCTGTATTCGAATACATTCGATTATTCCCACTTGTATTCTCGTTCACTATAATAGAAAGACATTATTACATATAATTATATATGTTTATTCACTTTACAAAACATTATGATAACCCTCTATATCAGGTAACTTTTGAAAACCTATTGAATACATACCTTGTTTCTTCTATCGGATGTAAAATATGCAACATATTAGGATGATGAAGTTGAGTTAATAAACGTACATCACGTTTTAATACACTAGTCACAATATCACGTCTTCGAGGTTTATGAAGTTTGTCAGCAATTGACTTATCAAATAAAAATACAGAACATGGCTGAAACGAAAAAAAAGTAGTTTTTGAGAAATTGTAGTTCATTTCAGTAAATCAATTGGTAATACAAACCAATAAAAAAAACGATAAGGAATCCAAATGTTAGGCATCTTCTGAAAGACAAATGGATATGGAATTTAGTTAAAGGTAAGGTGATAAGAATGAACAATAATAAGCGGATTTTATACAAGGATGAAATAGTTGGTCAGTACTTTCTGTTATTCAACAAGATGTTTGAATAATATCAGCGTGTAATGTAAACTATATAATCCAATAATTTTCACATACCCCATAAACCATAAACATACAATGGGAACATTCAGCTTGAATAATTACACTTTCATTATGGTGATGTACAAAAAACGTATAAAAGCATAACAATGTTTACATAGGTATATGTTTATCAGTGTGAAGTTTTGATTTATTTAGTTCAAATTAGAGAGCTATTGAAATATTGAAGCATTGGAGAGCTTATCCAGCCTATCATGAGACTTCGCATTAGTGTGTATCGACGATCTCATTAAAAGATATTGAACCTAAGTCATTCGTTTACCTTCTGCATCAATGAACAGGGATTCAGTACTGTCATTTTAACATAAATCAATTTATGATATTACATAATCATTTTTTTGATTTCACCATCAGCTTGTACTTTCCTCACATGCAACTGAGCCCGATTTCTCACTAGAAATATGGAAATTTCCCCAAGAAGTTAGTCATCAGTAAGCACATGATAACTACCAGTAAATGATGATAGAAAATGTCGAATTTAACAGGGATACGTTACGAGGTTGAAGGTTCAATGTCCAGTTGCCGATGGAAGGATTACAGATACACAACGCTAAAGAATCTTTTATTATGAAGAAACAGCTTCCAGAATTACAATATTTACTGAAGAATGATAATAAGTAGATTCAGTGGGATTTTGAGTATACCATAATTTTCAATAATAATTGGGAATTTATAACTAAAAACAAGGCTCTTTAAAGAAAGTAACAATTACCTAATTCTAACTCAACAGTTCCAATAAGACGCTAAATACTTATTATATAAATATTTATATCAGAAGTGGCTTTTGTGGATATTATAGTTATTTCAATGGTTGACATCATAAGTTATTTGAAGCCAGACCAACATTAAAAAGCTGGACGCACTGGACATCCATTTCGTCCTATCGTGCGACTCCTCAGTAGTGCGCACTCGCGAGATTCAAACTTAGGACTTATAGATCCCTTACTTTTCTCTTTGAATACATAACGGTTAGTCAAACGTTATTTGTAGATTGTTGAGATTATGTATTCCTGATTTGTTCTTGACGTATCTTTTAGAAACAAATACACCTAATTAAAGAGATGAACGAATCGAAGATGATTATTTGTTAAAAATGAGTATTGATTTCGATTGAGTTATTTTACTCAATATTCAGTTTATATCATAATTTTACTATAAAGGTATGGTGGTCTGCTTGAATATTTGAGTTACCTGTTCCTGCCATCTAGATCTTTCAACAAGTCATCTAATTTTGTTTGTTTTAATACATCATTATGTCTGCTAATCGGTTTATCTATTCAGGCACCTTTATGAAAAGTGTACAACCTTTCATTACACAAGTTACAAAATAGTTCAATTAGAGATAACGTAGTTTCTGGCAATATGCAGTGAAAATAATGTACAATATTTCGCTGTCAATTGACTGGACTGCTAACTTCTAGTTGGTCACCACTCAATATTTATTGTCAATATCGATCAAGAAATAAGAAATAGGAAGTCACTGAAATACTTTGTGCTGTGAATTCTATATTGTACCCAAAATGTAATAGTGAATGGAGCTTATAAGAACAATAATTGGATTGGTTGAGGTGTGACATTAACACCGTTGGATACCGGCCGGCTCAGTAGTCTAGAGGTTAAGTGTCCGCGTGCAAGACTGAAGTCCCTGAGATCGACTCCGGTGAGCCGGATAATGGATGAGCACTGGTGAAAAGTCCCATACTAGGATTATATGGCCGTCCACAGTTTAAAAAAAATACTTAAATCAATTCTTTGTCTTGTAAAAAATAACCAACCGTTTTCATTTTACTCCAGTGACAGGAATTTATTATTTTTCATTTTGATACAAGTAATTAGATCATGAATCAATTGAAGCTAGACCACCATGGGAAATCTTGAACCACTGAACGGCCGTTTCGTCCTATTGTGTGAGTCTTCAGTAGTGCTTCAATTGACTCATGATCTCAACTCTTGAAATTAGTACAAACTCCACTAAACCCCTTGTGACACAGTTATTAAGAGAGAAACGTAAATGAAATCGATATTTTTGCTAGAATTCTTTATAACCTTCATGCTATTATTTAAACTAATACAGATGGGAAAGAAAATGAGAATTTTAACAAACCATCTTTAATTTAATGATACATTAATTACCATGAATATGATTAGACTTTGGTATATGCATTTTTACTTCACTATACATATGTCTTATTTTGTTAATTAAATAATAATTTCAATAGTTGTGATCATAAGTCAATTGATAATAGACCACCATAGAATACCTGTAAGCATTGGACGGCGGCTTCGTCCTAGCATGAGACTCCTCAACAGTGCGCATCCACGATTTCGTCTCGCAAGATTCGAACACAGGACTTATCAGTTTCGCGCGTGAACGTTCAACTTCTAGTCCACTGATCCGGCCGGCATCGAACGGTCTTAATGTCTAACTTCAACTAATCTATGAAATTGAGCGACACATCCACCACTGTGTTCACTGAGTTCCTATTTCGCAACAAACCCGATCTCACTCCACTGGTCACTGCATCTTACAAGAACTCCAGAAAATACCTCTTGAGGCCAGTCACTAGTGAACATACGTTAAATAATAGCTTCACGTTGTAAATCATGATGTTCCAGTGAGAAACTGTAATCAATCCACTACAATCAATGTCCAATCTGAGATTAATATCCAACTCAGTCAATAGATGAAGTATTGCACATTATCATAGATTCATTCATGTTAGATATTCACACCGTTGCATGCCAACTCAATGGTCTGGAGTTTAAGAATTCTCATGCGATACCGAATATCCTGAATTCGAATGTCGTGTGTTGTACTGTAAGCGCACACTGATAACGTGTTCCATACTAGAATGAAATAGCCGTGTAATGCTTTTAGGTTTTTATAGGTGGTTCAACTTAGATCAACTCATGATTTCAACCGTGAACATAATATTCTATCCAAAAATCCCCATACTAAGCATTGAATAATAGTTTATAGATGGAAAATTGAATGAGCTAAATGAACATAAAATAGTTATTTCGAATTTATATTATTCATTAATCTGTTGACAAAATATCAGATTTCTAAGGTTTTTCAATGAAACTCTTGTCAGTCACTAATTTCTTAAACTTTTCTATCGTGAATCGGCTTTAATCTAAATTGTTTAATTAGAAGGTAACTGGTGTTATGATTAAAGCCTCTGCAGCAGTACACAAGAGGAAAACCAAGATCTTCAAATACAACACGAGAAACACCAAACCAAACTCACTTGGTGGAGAAACTCTGGAAGATGTAGTATCTTTCACGTAACTGGACAGCATCATCAATGAACAAGTCCGATACAGACGTAAAGGCAAGGTTTGGCAAACCAAGAGCTACATTCTTACAAGTGAAGAATATATGGAAACCAAAACAACCTCCAACCAATATCAAAGTCAGAATCTTCAATACGAACGTCAAGACAGTACAGAGCTGAAACGTGGAGAACTACTACATTCATCATTAGAAACGTAAAAGTATTTCTAAACAGTTGCATACGCGAGATCCCATTAGTATCAGCCTACTGTGAGTGAGAACAAACAACCTTCCAGTTGACGAAAGGGAAAGACGTTGGAAGAAGATAAGACATACATTGAGAAAATTACTAAACTTGGAATGTTGAAATAAAACGGGAAAGAGGAAAGCCAAAGAACACACTTTGTCATGAATAGGAAGCAGAAATGAAAAGATGAATAGCAGCTGGATAGGACTGTTCAGGACAGAGTTGAATGGAGAATGCTAATGTTTGCCCCATGCTCCTCCACGACGTGAGTTAACAGACATAATGAAGATGTTATAATTACATTATATCTTGTTGACAATCTAACAAAATACGTTTTATTTTGTTTTCAATATTATCATTCACAAAATTCATATAAGTGTATGTATACTTGTATAGAATAGATGGATTATAGATAGAAGTGAAATCATGAATTTCTGCTCCAATCTATTTTAACTTCTTCAGTTGAACACGTCTATATTCCAGTATTGATGTTCATATTACAATTGACTACAATAAATACTGTTAACTGATATTTTTTATTGACAACATTCCTAGAGACGTTCAATCTATGTCAAATATGAATGAATAATATATTTGTAATATCCCAATGAGTAGAAAAACTAGATTTTCTGACGTTTCGTGACTTAGTGTAAGTCACTTCTTCAGAGAATAACAATCTACCCATTGTTCAATTTATTCGAAATTATCAAATCAAACCTTGGTAATGATACCTATGTCAAATAGAAATCATCATGATAACTTTAGTTAATAATCAGGTGACTGATTATATCATCATCAAATGACTGATGAAAATGGTTCTATTTAAAATGTACACTAAGATACGTTAAAATTATGAATGACAAATGCTTTTCCCTATTTGAAAAGATCATCAACTTGATCCATTTTCCAACAAATCATCAGTTTTTCTGTTTGTTTGTTTTTTATTCTCAAAGATCAAGCTCCAAGACCACCTTCACTAATCCGAAAAAAAGAGAAAATAGTCCAAGTCATGTGGTTAGATAATGATCAACTATCAAGTTGATGACTTTATAAACATTTCTATTTTGTTATTCATTCAACAACAAAATAAATAGGATGAACAAACAATTTTCGAATGGTATCTGTTTACATGGCCTATTGGACAGTTTTATTGGATACATTACAACTTATGTATCTGCTAACTAAGGG